TCTTGGGAGCTGTATCAGTCTGGGTCCAATCAGGACCATGATAACTTGAACAGAAAAGTTTAGTATAAAGAATTACTAACTGTAACAGAGGACTGCAGTAATGAGGGGTTGGCTAGTAAGAAGGAAAGAGAATCCTGAAGAATATATTATAGAAAGAGTAGAAATAAGGAACAGCTGCTACTCAGGGTTGAGATGCAGCACCCCAGGAAGAGCCCTCTCCCCAGACAGATCCAGACAGCTGCGTGGAGAGGGCATGGCTGTGGCTAACTGAGTCAGAGCAATGAGCTGCTGGCCAGGGTACACTGTAGGACCAGGCACTGGGGAAGGCCTGCAACCAAGAGGCAAAACCCCTTCTTCCTGCAATGTCTCTCCAGTGCCCTCTACTGATAAAACTTAACATCAGGAGAGCCGGCAAAGGAAAACTATTTAAAGGGCCCAATTCAGTTTTCACAGAGCAGGCAAAAAGGATGAATTTGGAGCTGAGGCAGTAAACTGATAACTGGCACAGGGGCCCTGAGCCTCCATATACAAAATCCCAGCTATCCTGCTGGAAGACCACATGGAGAGACCATGCGGAGAAACCACATGGAGAAGAACAGGCTCCCAGACTACACGGAAAGACAGAGAAGTCCAGACACCTCAGCGGAACATCACCTCCAGCCGCCCTGCCAGTTGGCTACATGCCACATAAATAACCACCAGCAGCCTGAGGCCAGCCCAGACTGAAGAATCATAAGCAAATGAAGTGGCTGTGGCTTAAGCTCCTAAATTTCTGGGTGATTTGTTACATGGCAATTAAAAACTAAACAGAAACTTTCTGTTCAATTTGTTTTGGTTATCTACCGCTACATTCTCATGAAATAGCACAATCCCTTATTTGGTCATGATTCTAGATCTGGGCAGGGCTCAGAATAGACAGCTTAACTGGGTCTGGAGGATCCACTGTGAGGAAGGCTCACTCGCAGGGTGGCAAGCTGGAGCTGGCTGTTGACTGGGAGCTCGGCTGGAGGGAGGGCTGGACCTCCGTTCTCCTCCAGCTGTCCTCTCTCCATGCCCGGGGTGGGCTTCTCACAGCAGAGGGGCTGGGTCCAAGAAGCATCATCCTAAAAGTGAGTGTTTGGAAAGGACAAGCCCCACTGTGCAAACGCTTACCAAACTTCTTCTCACATCACATGGCCAAACCCAGAATCAACGTGGGCCTCAGGAGGGTGGATACTGGAGGTGCGTGATTCACCGGGGCCACCAAAGTAACCCTAACCTCAGGGGTATTCAGTTGTAAAAATTCATCAAGCTGTACACTTAAGATGTGCATACATTAATAATAGTTATTAATAAGTAATAGTTAATAAAGTTCACTCCTCCAAAGAAAGACAGTCAAATTATTACTAGTCCTCCCTTAGAAAATGCGACGCGCTCATTAGCACACTGCAAATGACTTCTCATGGGGTTAGGATGAAATGCAGATTATCAACAGAGAAAATGATTCTTCCTTTTCTGATTTTATAACACTAGAAAAAGCTATTTCCTAAAAAAAGATTTTTAAGGCACTAAGAGATAAAGGATTAAAAAAGATTTGTAAGTGGCAATCTCATCCATTCACAGGTTCTTGAAGCCACGTAAGCCGCATCACTAACAGCTAGAATCCACCAGGGAGGGTGTTCAGATCCAATGAATACTGACTGACATATTCAATCCCTCATACGCCTACTGAGTGCCCACCATGGGTCCCCCCAACACTGTGCGGGGCGTGGGATATAATGAACATCTGCTCTAGAAAGCGCGTCGGGTGGTAAGCGCCCACTGCTGCGGGAGCAGGGGAGCAGCCAGGGGCTGCTGGGAAGGAAGGAACGACAACTCCCGTCCGAAGAAAGGGGAAAAGGCAACTCAGGCGGAAGCAACAGCAGGTACAAGGCAGCATGACTTTGAAGCCAATGTGAGTAGTTCAGCCAGGCTGCAACAAGGCGGGGCGGGGAGGGGAGGAAGGACAGTCCAGGAGCCAGCAGGTAGGCTGGGGCCATGGATGGAAGAGCCTTGGATGCTGGTGAGTCCCTGCAGGACTTTACCACAGAGAGAACACAGCGTATTTTAGGTCTCACGGGCAGAATTAAGCATACTGACTAGAGGCAGAGAGGCAGCTGGATGGCTGTGGTAGGAAGCCAGAGAGAAGAGCGAAGGGCCTGCACAGGCCGTGGCACAGAGGGGCCAACAGAGGCAGTTCAGGGGTCGTCCACAGCCCGGCTACTCAACGCGGGGCCCCAGAAGCAGCGTCAGCAACACCGGGGAGCGTGCTGAAATGTAAACTCCTGAGCCCCAGCCCAAATCTCCTGAATCCTGATCTCAGGATTGAGTGGAGCCCAATAATCCGTGTTTTAACAAGTCCTCCAAGTGATCTTGATGTAAATTTAAGTCTGAGGACCACTTATCTATAGGACCTCGCAATCGCTGCAGGTGAGAGGTAAGGGACAATGAGAAGTTGAAGATGATTCTTAGGTTTCTGGCTGGAACAATGGGCCAGACGGTGATACCACCATTCACTGAGGGAGGGGACAATGGAAGAGGCGCAGGTCAGGAGAGAAGGGACTCAGACCCTCCGAGGAGACATTCCCCACATTTTATGGATAAGGAAGATGAAATCTGGAAACATGAAATGATTGACCTGGACCATTTTTCTTCCTATTTTCATTCTGTTCAACGTAAATATATCCTGTAGCTCAAAATGGTAAGATGAACCAATATTCACAGATATAAGAACCCAAGACCAGGCTGCAGAAAACAGGGTTTTGTATTGGGTTTTGTTTTGGGTTTTTTTGCTGCTTATGAAAATACTGCTTTATATGGGGGCATTGTGTTGCTAATAGAACCTCTCAATCACTTATGGAATTAGGAGAACGTGTTGGGGCTGAAATAGTATGTTCTAGGACTAATATCTCAAATATGCCACTTGTGGTACCACAAAATGCCTGTGAGCTTAAAATGGGTATTTGTAGAACTATCACATTTTGTTGAAAAGTAAAGCTGTGCAGCCTTTTCCTGATTCTGCTTCTAAAGCGACACTGTGGCATAAGCTGGTTTAAACTGCTCTACACGTGGCTGAAACCAGGAAGCCTGAATTCTTACCCCAGCAGGCCACTAACTAGCTGTGGACCTCAACCTCATCAACTTACCTCTCTGGAGCTCAGGCTCCTTCTCTATAAAATGAAGGGACTGGACTAGATGAGCACTTACATCCTTCCAGCTTTAACATTTATTATCTGTGAGGATCAAGCGATGGGATTTGTTTTCTAAGTGATTTCTTATAATAATGACTTTAAGAGGTCATCACTGCCAAGAATTGGCTTGGACTCAGGAATTTTGGGCTACAGCTTGTCATAGCCATTAACGTCAGGGTTTAGTTTAGCATAACCAGGGGGATTCCTGGTACAAGAGGAAGTAGTTAGCTAATGAGTGGCCTCCTCTCGTAGAATTCAAAGTTCAATAATGCTTAGGTGAGACTAATGCAGCCACAATCTCAAACTTTCATAAAACGCTACTGTTTGAGCCACCAAATATCTCATTGGCCTGATAAACCTACTCATAATGCTTTCCCTGGATACACCACACTTTTCCATTCTCCCAGTGATTCAGCTATAATACTACAAAATGTCAGCACAGGAAACCTCATTCTTGGGAAAGACAATTTGGCTTAATGGTCCATAGAGCTGAATTTTGACATAGATTAAAATCTCAGCTCCATCACTTATCACTTATTGCTAAGTGACCTTGGATGGAGATTTACCTCTTTCAGCCTCAGAGAGGCTTTCAAAAAGGTGAAAATGTCAAGAACATCAGATGCTGCTAAGAAGTCAAAGGAGATGAAGTCTAAAAAGTTGTCCTTTGGACTTAGCCACATAGAGGTCTTCGATGACTTCAGTGAAGGCTATTTCAGAAGAAGGATGGGCCTGGCTGAGGATGTTGATGAGTCAGTGGGAGATGAAGAATGAAACTGCAAGTAGAGGCCACCTACTGAGAAAGGAAGGAGAGACACGAGAGCAGCTTCAGGATGAGATTGAGTGAGGTGGTGGTCAGTCAGCTGGTTTCAAGATGGGAGAGATTCGGGCTCGCTGAAAACCTAACGAGAGGGGGAGAGAGAGAGAGAGAGAGAGAGAGAGAGAGAGAGAGAGAGAGAGAGAG